TGGGTATGCTGTGCTATGTATGACAATGCTAAATCGATAGCTTTTGCTTCAGCAGTAAAAATTGATGCATTATCTGGTAACCTCATACTAGATGTAAAATTATTTTCAAACACAGCCGCACCTACTTTGCAACCTTCTTTTGAACCGTCCGTATAAATATGTATAAAATCTTCATGTTCTTCCTTATCCAGTTACCTCTCTGGCGTGGGTTCGATCCCCGGGAGATGCTTTGGTAGTTTAGCGCGGAGGAAGGTAGTCTAGTACTGGTGTAACTCTCCAGGAACGATGGTTAGGAAACTACCCGCCTATATGACTGAAATACTGTTGGGAAAAGGCGTAAAATGAAACAAACAAACAAACAAATGTTCTTCCTTAATTGCTAGAAACTTCTCTTTGAAGTATTCAGGTGAATTTGATGACTTTTTTATATTTGAAAGGTTAATATTTATTTTCGGGGAATTATAAGTCCAAGGTGGAACATCCTCATCGTCATTTTGAAGGATACTGTCTGGATTAATTTTAAGTTTATCTAAATAATCTTTTAAACGAAGGCCTAATGGTTTAATTTCCTTTGATTTGTTAACAAATTTTTCAGTATAACTTGGTTTAAAAATAATATTTTTTGCTGGATTTTTGCTATTAGATGAAATTCTAGTTGCATATTGACGTGATAGCTTTTTCGACGAAGATGAGGCGATGGTTCCCCAGCTTCCGCATATAGACTTTCTACAGGTGAAGTGCGAAAAGCACCTTAAGCTAAACGTAAACCCTGGTGATGTATGGTATCTAGCATTTGAAGATACGATTTTCTTGCAGACCCATATACTACAGAACCATTATTTAATTTTGATCGGATAAGACTTCTGTATAATTTCAGTAATGTGGAAGAATTTGATCCCCAATTTGTACTTGATAAAACCTTAAGTAAATTTAAAGCTTTTAGGCATTTAGTTTTCAGATGTTTAATATGTGGTATAAAAGAAAGTTTTTTTATCAAATATAATTCCTAAAAACTTAGCTTCATTAACTACTGGAATTTTAGAACCAGATATGGTGTATTAAATTGTTTTATTGTATTTCGATTAGTGTTATTAGTGTTATTAAATCGTATTGTAACGAAAACGTTTGTTTTGATAAGTGCCAATTCGTGTTGGAACGAAATCTCACCAATCATCTTCTTTCTTTTTGTCTTGTTGTTGGGTTTATTCTTATTGTATTGTAATGGTCTTATTTCTTTGTTCATTAGTGTTAAATCGTGCTGTAACGGAAAACATACGTTTCTGATTTGTGTCGGTTCGTGTTGGAACGAGATTCCACCAATCATATTCCTTCTCTCTTTTTTTTTGCTTGTTTGGATTAGTTCATGCCGTTGTCTTCCTTGGTTTTATTAAGTTAAAAGGTTTATCATGGAATCTTCGCTTTTCTATAAAGTATTATTAAGACGGTGTTTCATTGTTTTTAGTATAAAAATTAGTAAAAACTATTTATTCATTACCTAGTCCAAATTAATCGTCCAATTTGACTCATTTACAGATATAAAATACAATACAAACATGGACATAATTATGAACAATAAAAATACAGAAAATAAAATCATTAATTTTTGAAAGTTTAAAAAAATTTACAAACAAAATCGAAAATCTTCAGAATTAAAACATTCCTTCAGCATTTGGTAAACTATTTTCGCTTGCCTGCCGTCGTCGATTGAAAAGTCACACTTGAAGTCATTCCGAATACGTCGGATCCAAAAGACTGACATGTCCGTCACGAAATTCATGCGACGGCATGTCATTTTTAAACTTCTCAAGTCTTTTAGGGACAGAAGACTGGCTATTCTTAACACTAACGGGTCAGCCAGTCATAGAAAAACTTCATCGTCGTCCGTCCCGTAATCCATATCACCTTCGACTCCATCCCCCGTGCATTCCATCTCGGATGCCGAACCTATAGTTGACATTTCTTTGTCTTCGTCTTGCATCTGCGATGCCGACGCCGAATCTACACTTGAAATCTCTTGATCATTTTGGCTTTGATCCGGACTATCTGGCGTTGTCTCCGAAGAGTCGGAAAACAACAGGCGCATCCTGAGTTTTTGTATCCCAGGAAGACCGGGATCAACATTCTCCTTATCATCGTCATCATCATCGCTGTCGCTTGCCGTCAGGTCCACCGGATGCTGTTGGCTGCCCAGACACGCCCGTGACTGTGCCTGCGCTTGCATGGTCGCGCCTATCTCACATGCTTCGGCAATAAGCCCCATTTGAGAAAAAAGTCTTAACAGCGCAGGCTTCGACAACATTATACCTTGATTTCTTGTGTTTGCAATCGTTGCAAACACAAGACCTTCTGCCGTAACGTTTAACTTAAAAAAAACTCTCGCTGTCCAAGGCAACTCTGCTTGACTGCATTTTGATTTTACTTAATTATCTTCCTGAGTAGCAAAAATAAAGTTGTTTTAGATGTGTGTAGATTGGGGAGCAAACACCCCTTATAAGTACAGCTTACTAAAGTTCGTTGTCCAATCGGGAAGGGTGTCAATTTGCGTAGCTACAGAAACAAGTTCGTTGTCCAATCAAAACGTGGCGACCAGACATGTCTCGCGATAATGCGTTGCTACAGATATGGGTACGTTGTCCAATCAAAACGTTGCTACCTGGCATGTCTCGTGACAATCATGTTGCTACGGAAGTGATTAACGTGCTTCAACGTGCACGATAAAAGGTGACAAACAGGGTGGTCGAATGAATGCTTTCAATTCGCATTCAAACGAAACCAATCAAACGAAACAATTAAAAGATTAGTGATAAGTGTCATTTCGTGTTTGAGCGAATGGTTTGTTTGTTTGAATTTTTACGGCACGTCAACACATAACTGGCCATATCGTGCCGAATGCTATAAAAGCTTAAAATGTTATGTAAAACTTTGTAAATGACAATAGAAATGAACCAATTAGATCCTAGAATACAAGTTTATCTCTTTCAAATAATCAATTATGTTTTTTATGGAATTGTATTAAAAAGTTCTTTGAGTGAATTTACAGAATAAAATCTATTACGGGCCTGTGAGAAATCATGACATTCAATAAGAAAATGCTTGACAGTAAAATTTTCATTACAACCTACACAGAAAGGGGCATTGTCATTTGTAAGGAGATAAGAGTGGGTACTTTAAGTGTGTCCAATTCGGCATCGAAGAAGAACTGTTTGATCACGGCGGTTCGACAGAGATAGAGATTGTGACACATCAAGAGATGTGTTTATATCGTGAAGTTTATTAAAAACGGCATTGTCCCAATTTGCTTTCCATTCAGATGATACGAGTTTATTTATAGCCGGTCTAAAATCACAAGCAGGTAACAATAAGTCAGTTTTTTGAAAATTTAATGATTGTTTAGCTAAAGCATCTACTTTTTCATTTCCTCGTATTCCTACATGACTTGGAATCCAATATAATTTAACATATTTTGTTTTTAGTATTTCATGAAATCGTAAAAGAAGTTTCTTAACCATGATATTGTCAGATTTTTTATTTTTAATGGCTATTAAAACAGAAAGCGAGTCAGAAAATATCACAAATCTATCGTGGGTATGCTGTGCTATGTATGACAATGCTAAATCGATAGCTTTTGCTTCAGCAGTACAAATTGATGCATTATCTGGTAACCTCATACTAGATGTAAAATTATTTTCAAACACAGCCGCACCTACTTTGCAACCTTCTTTTGAACCGTCCGTATAAATATGTATAAAATCTTCATGTTCTTCCTTAATTGCTAGAAACTTCTCTTTGAAGTATTCAGGTGAATTTGATGACTTTTTTATATTTGAAAGGTTAATATTTATTTTCGGGGAATTATAAGTCCAAGGTGGAACATCCTCATCGTCATTTTGAAGGATACTGTCTGGATTAATTTTAAGTTTATCTAAATAATCTTTTAAACGAAGGCCTAATGATTTAATTTCCTTTGATTTGTTAACAAATTTTTCAGTATAACTTGGTTTGAAAATAATATTTTTTGCTGGATTTTTGCTATTAGATGAAATTCTAGTTGCGTATTGACGTGATAGCTTTTTTCGACGAAGATGAAGCGATGGTTCCCCAGCTTCCGCATATAGACTTTCTACAGGTGAAGTGCGAAAAGCACCTAAAGCTAAACGTTTGTTTGTTTGTTTGTTTCATTTTACGCCTTTTTCCAACAGTATTTCAGTCATATAGGCGGGTAGTTTCCTAACCATCGTTCCTGGAGAGTTACACCAGTACTAGACTACCTTCCTCCGCGCTAAACAAAAAGCTAAACGTAAACCCTGGTGATGTATGGTATCTAGCATTTGAAGATACGATTTTCTTGCAGACCCATATACTACAGAACCATAATTTAATTTTGATCGGATAAGACTTCTGTATAATTTCAGTAATGTGGAAGAATTTGATCCCCAATTTGTACTTGATAAAACCTTAAGTAAATTTAAAGCTTTAAGGCATTTAGTTTTCAGATGTTTAATATGTGGTATAAAAGAAAGTTTTTTTTTTATCAAATATAATTCCTAAAAACTTAGCTTCATCAACTACTGGAATTTTAGAACCAGATATGGTGTATTAAATTGTTTTATTATATTTCGATTAGTGTTATTAGTGTTATTAAATCGTATTGTAACGAAAACGTTTGTTTTGTTAATTACGGAATCATTCAATGAAATGGCTGTTATGACTACATGTGTGTATACGCTAAGAAGTGTTTTGTTCGAAATTTATTGATTGAAAATTCACGTGAAGCGATTATGCACGAGAAAAGCGATTTTCACTGACCAAGCTTGTGTGCTCTCAAGCATGAAGCTATTATCAAAACGTTCATGTAGACAATAACTACATTTGATAATATACGTGTGGTGAATATTTCATATGTGTACATTTCTTCGTTTTGAAGTAAAGTCCATTTTTAGACGAGCGTTAGAACTTTTGATTAGTATAGATTAGTCTGACCTGAATTTATTAGTGGCCTCATCCCTTTCAATCGTTAAAATTTCATGACAACTAAATCTAATGAACACTAACCTTTGCGCGAGAGGTCAAAATTAACAAATTACATTGGCTAACAAATAAATAACATCTCATTTTTTCACGTCTGGCGGGATTTGTAAAAAATTATCACCGGTCAGGGAATTTGTTGACGAAAAATGTGGTTTTCAGCCATCCTAAACAGAATAGTACTCGTCTATATTTACAGTCAGGTAAATCCCGGGTTGTCACAGTCCTGTCCTATGTGTAATTGGTTATGTAAAATTATGGTTGAATTCATTTTAATCCAGATATTTTCCTCAGCTGTTTCTCAGCTCAATTGAGTTTTTATTTTCAAATATGTGAACATTTGTCTAAAGACAATTAATTTTCTTTTCTTTGCACATGTGCTTGATAATGTTTGCTTTATTATTATTATTTTGATGATGTTATTTCACTTATTGACTTAAATTATCGTACACGTTGCTTTGTTGCAGGTAAGATTCGAGGCAGGGCTTGTATGGGTTGTAACCTGAAACTGAAGGTACCAAACCATCTTATTGTTGTTTTAAACGACCTCTCCGTGTACGACGGAAGAATTCTAGTGTGCGCAGCTGATATTCATGGCGTCGATAACATTAAAGTCATTCCAAGGACTATAGACTCGTACGCAGGGTTGACCATAAACAGATGCCGCTTCATCGACTTTAAGAATTTCTTCAAGGACCCACTTAGATCTCTTGTAGACGGACTTCGAGCGGAAGAAGGTGATGGCGCTTTCGTGCATGCTAATACGTACTGGCCGTGCTCAGCTAATGAACACAAGCTTTGTAAAATACCGTTATGTAGGGACTACATAAGAGGTCCAGAGGAGCTGATCGAGTCAGAACTGCCATCAATTGAACAGTTCGGTGACTGCATCGAGGATACGACATTGTCACAAGACGACTACCGAGTCGTGAAAAACGTCTGGAACTCAGCTAACGAAAAAAGTCTTAAAAAACTAATGGAATTGGCACTGATTACAGACTGTTTATTTACGGCCGATATTGTCAGCAGTCTGAGAACAGCTGTGATGAAGGACCTTAAACTGGACCCTATTAGGTTTTATACGCTCGCTAGCTTTGCATGGGAAAGCGCCTTGCGGTTCAGTGGCACTTCACTTGGACTGCAAACTACCCACGAAGCACATCTTATGATAGAAAATGCTATAAGGGGTAAGTTTAGAATTAATTAATTAATTAATTAATTGATTAATTTTTTTATTAAGTAAGTAAGTTATTGATAATTAATTATGTAACTTAGAAAGGAATAAATAAATTAATCAATCAATCAAATACTTGATTAATTGAACAGCTGTTATGTTTTATTTTCGTTAAATGACAAACACTTCTTTAAATAGAGATTTAGTGAGCCTTTTCAAACGTTAACGACAGTTAGACACTTTTGAAATGTTTGTAGATTTCTTGATAAAGAAATACACATTTCATTGTTTCTGGTATTACTCAACCTTAGATATTTTCTCATTCACAGGTGGTATTGCAGTTGTTGGAAATCCGAGGTATGCCCGGGCAAACAACGCCGAAATGCCAAAAGAAATGTTTAACGAAAACGAAGAGAACAGCTACATTGACTTCATGGATTTCAATGGGCTGTATACATCAACAATGACCTCGGCAAGACTCCCAGCATACGGATTTCGCTTCCTCGAAAGAAATGAGATAGACAGAATTGATTTTGCGGAAATACCACCAGATAATGATCATGGTTACATTTTAGAGGTTGATTTGAGCTATCCACCAGAACTGCACGATGATCACGATGGTATGATATTTGTTTTTCCACTTTTATTTTAATTCGACATATAGTAACACGCCAAGATGTTTTTTTATCTTAAAGCCCGTTCCGTACTCACTCTGTTGGTATATCTTTCATTTGTGTACATATTTGGACAAGAAAAAAAATATAATGCATTGGTAAATATGAGAAATTCTTTCATTTTCAGATTTCCCACTAGCCCCGGAACGAGTGACAATTACAAAAGACGATCTATCGGAACACACTGTCAGAATGGCGGAGTCATGTGGTGTCAACATGGACAATATGAAACTGGACAATCGCCTGTGTTTGACATTGAAGGATAAAAAAAAGTACACAGTACACTACAGAAACCTTCAGTTCTACACAAAACACGGTCTATGTGTTACCAAAATACACCGTGTACTGACCTTCACACAGGTGCCATTTTTGCAGTCCTTTATGCTTCACTGCGCAGAGAAACGAAGAGCAGCGAAATCACAGTTTTACAAGACCCTGTGGAAGAGTATCGCAAACTTAGTATCTTTAGTGAGCTTTAGGTGCATTTCGCACCTCACCTATAGAAAGTCTATATGCGGAAGCTGGGGAACCATCGCTTCAGCTTCGTCGAAAAAAGCTATCACTTCAATGTGCAACTAGAATTTCATCAAATAGCATAAATCCAGCCAAAAATATAATTTTCAAAACCAAGTTATATTGAAAAATTTGTTAACAAACCAAAGACAATTAAACCATTAGGCCTTCTTTTAAAAGATGATTTAGATAAACTTAAAATTAGTCCAGACAGTATCCTTCAAAATGACGATGAGGATGTTTCACCTTGGACTTATAATTCCCCTGAAATAAATATTAACCTTTCAAATATAAAAAAGTCATCAAATTCACATGAATATTTCAAAGAGAAATTTCTAGCAATTAAGGAAGAACGTGAAGAGTTTATACATATTTATACGGACGGTTCAAAGGAAGGTTGCAAAGTAGGTGCGGCTGTGTTTGAAAATAATTTTACATCTAGTATGAGGTTACCAGATAATGCATCAATTTTTACTGCTGAAGCAAAAGCTATAGATTTAGCATTTTCATACATAGAACAGTATTCCCATGATAAATTTGTGATATTTTCTGACTCGCTATCTGTTTTAATATCCATTAAAAATTAAAAATATTCTGACAATATCATGATAAAGAAACTTCTTTAACGATTTCATGATATACTTAAAATAAAATCTGTTAAATAATATTGGATTTCAAGTCATGTAGGTATACGAGGAAATGAAAAAGTAGATGCTTAAGCTAAACAATCTTTAAATTTTCAAAAAACTGACTTATTGTTACCTGCTTCTGATTGTAGAACGGCTATAAATAAACTCGTTTCATCTGGAAAGCAAATTGGGACAATGACGTCTTTAATAAACTTCATGATATAAACCCATCTCTTGATGTATCACCATCTCTGTCTTTGTCAAACCGCCATGATCAAACAGTCCTTCTTCGATGCCGAATTGGAGACACTAAAGTTACCCACTCTTATCTCCTCACGAATGACAATGCCCCTTTCTGTGTAGCTTGCAATGAAAATTATACTGTCAAGCATATTCTTCTGGAATGTCATGATTTTTCACAGGCCTGTAATAGATTTTATAATTTAAATTCACCTAAGGAACTCTTTAATACAATTCCATCAAAAAACATCATCGATTATTTGAAAATGATAAACTTGTATTCGAGGATCTAATTGGCTCTTTTTCGTTGTCTTTTGCAGAGTTTTACATTATATTTTAAGCCTATTTTAGCATTCGGCACGATATGGCCATTTATGTGTTGACGTGCCGTAAAATCCAAACAAAAAACAAACAAATTTTTGGTAAGATCGGGCCTTTTTAAAATATTTAAACAATTGAATTGAAAATAGTCGAAAATTGAGTAAAATATCGTAAAAACGGTTTTTGAACTTCAACAAAATTGCAAGATTTACAAATAAATCCAAGTTAGTGTAAACTATAAAAATAGTATGAATCAAAACATAGAAATATGACTTTTTTTTAAAAAATCACTGTTTTATAATTTTCTTTTGCTCTTGCCATTTACGTACGGACGATCATTAGTGCCAGGTTTGTGCTTTTTATTAACTCGTAATTTCGAGAAACTGACTCGAAATTTCAAGCAACTTATCTCGAAATTTCTAGTTACTTACTCGCAATTTCGACAAACTAATTCGAAATTTCGAGTAACTTATCTCGAAATTTCATCTTATCAACTCGAAATTTCGACAACGAAACTCGAACTTTTGACTTAGTCACTCGAAATGTCTTACTACTTATCTCGAAATTTCGACTTATTAACTCGAAATTTTGACTAAGTAACTCAAAATTTATATTTAGAAACTGGAAACTTATTATCTCCAACGTTACTAGAACAACTAATAGATAACCCCTATTGATTTTTGGGTCGCTGAGTCAAAGGTCAAGGTCACATGGCGTCTTAAATGTCAGAACAGTTTCCGCTGATTATCTTGAAAAATATTCATCACAAAAATGTCATATTTCACATATTGATTGATCATAACTAGTAGATGACTCCTATTGATTTGGGGGTCATAAGGTTAAAAGTCAATGTCACAGGGTCCTTGAATGGTAAATGATTTCCGTTTTTTATCTTGGTTACCATTTATCACAAAGTCTTCATTTTTCACACCTATTGATTTTGGGTCACTAGTTCAAAGTTCTAGGTCACAGAAGCCTTAAATATCTCATTATCTTGAAAACTATTTATCACAAAGTCTTCATTATTTTTCTTTTTTCTGTAATTGAACACTTCCATGTACCCATTTATGGCAAGTTTCTATAGCAAAATTACCAATTATGTGAGTCAACATATGTGTCGTTCGACATTTCATGTTACATAATTAATTTAAAAATCGCTATAGATTTAATGTCAGACTATAACACATATGCGCAATATCAAAGAAATTAATCGTGTTTGCAAAATTACCTTAAAGGCACATTACGGACTAAATACTTTTATTACGAGATGTGAAAGTGTATATCTGACTTTAACTTATATAAGTTATATATAGAATAGTAGCATCATACCTTAATAAATAAATAAATGCATACATAAATAAATAAATGAATGAGTGAATGAATGAATAAATAGCAACTTGAACTTATATAAAATAACTAATAATAACAATGATATAAAATAATATTTTATACATTATAGTGTTTATTAATCACAATAAAAAGGAATATGTAACAACTATAAAAGTGTAAACAAAATGTGGTATACTTTAATAACAGGCTTTTATTGCTTTGATAAAAGATTACATCGATTATTGACTATGCATGTATGTAACAGATCTGAACTGTTGACAGCTTGGATATATGTAAATGTGAAGTAAATCACTCTCCTTTACATTTCTATCTACATTAAGCTTTGTACAATACTGATTCAGTCTTATGACAAATATGGCTACAAAAGTTGTACTATTTGGCGACAGCTATGTTAAACGCCTTAGTTTATTTTGCTAGGATCGAACAGGTTTTCACATCCCATTCAACATAAGATGGTATGGCAAAGGCGGTCTCAGAAAAGACAGAATGAGTACCAACTTAAACAGCAACATGTTACATGAGAAAGGTGAAATTATTGCGGAAGGTGGCAACGACATCACCCCTACGTCTAGTCCGAAGGAAATTGTAAGACGAATTAAAGTATAGGATTGGATGCCCCACATGGGATAATGGGCATTAAAACGACCTTACAAAATGACAGGTGATGGAAGTTGCTTGTTATGCTGTATTAAATTTTATTTGACATTGAGGAACACAGTTTAAAACAGCAATTGAAGAACCACCTGATGTTCTAGAGTTGCTGGTACATATATGATTACAAAGAGTATAATCGTTGAGTGTTAAACTATCTTTAGGGGACAGCATAGGCTCTTGAAGACACAGTACTTTTCAAAAAATATTTTGACAAAATAAGAAGTAAATCATTATAATTTGATTTTAAACCACGACAGTTCCATTTTAAAATAGTATGATTTCTGATTGGTATATATTTCTGTTATTATTTAAGAAACTTTATAGGACTTCTATTTTTCGCTGTTCCTTGTGGAGAGATGTTCAGGTCCTCGTCTTCCATCGACTCGGTATCTTCTTAAACATCATACTGATTTGATGTGTTGGCTGCGTTCCGCATTTCCTTCTTCAGCCGATCTGTGATAACAAGCCGCTCTTTTGGCGAGAAACTTTCTCCGGAGATGCAACTCTTGCTGGTGCAGCTGGTTAATTTGGTGAATATTTGGAAGGTGACTGTGTCTGCACGGATGTAGGCTATTTATATGAAGAACTATTAGTCTGTAGAGGGTTGCAGTATCTCAAGAGGAGGACATTTACATAAGTTAACCTGTACAGCAGAGTCAACCATCTTTACCGCCCTAGACACAGCAGCTGGATATGACAGCTGTTTCGGTATCTGGCTTTAAACAAGCTTGCGAGCATTTGGAAACGAAATATTTTGTTTACATTTTTGACGGCGGATTTTGTTATCCTTAACCCACACAGGGCAAGAGCGGGAGGTTGGTTAATGATTACCTCCGCAGTTCGAACATTGAATAGGAAGGTAACATTATCGGCTACAGTTTTCAATATATTGATGGTTTGTGCTACATTTTCAAAATATTGATTGCTTTAGACATTTTGTTTTGTTTTTTGTTTTTGTTTTGTATGATGATGACCAAATATAGAACATTTATAGCACTGCATAGGTTTAGAATGTAACCCTTAACGCGAACGTTGAGGTATCCAACTCGAAGAGACGATGGGAGAATTGGTGTAGAGACAGTAACAATTTTGCTGTTTGTATGTGTTCGATTTCCGTTTCTTGTTGTGAATATACGTTTGACATTTGAAACAAGCTGGTCATGTAGCTCGGCAGCAATGTATATCTCTGCATTGATGTTTAGTTACATATTTTGTATTGTAAAAATATACACACAATATACAATTTCACAATTTTACAAAAAATAATGAAGTGTACATACAAAAGGGTTGGGCAAAAAGTTCTAACGACATTATCGTGGATTCTTTACTGATTAATTTTATATTATTTGAATGTATAGTTGTATGATATCGAAGGTTCTATGTTACCAGATAATGCAGTAATTTTTACTGCTGAAGCAAAAGCTATAGATAAAGCATTGTCATGCATAGAACAGAATACCCATGATAAATTTTTGATATTTTCTGACTCGCTTTCTGTTTGAATATCCGTTGAAAATAAAAAAAAATTCTGACAATATCACGACAAGGAAACTTCTTTTACAATTTCATGATATACTTAAAACAAAATCTGTTAAATTATATTGGATTCGAAGTCTTGTGGGTATACAAGGAAATGTATCAATTAGTATCTAAGGGGGATACTCCGTCTTCTCTGAAACTGCTGGGCAGATTTACCTACCAATTGGTTTGTAGCATCCTTGTGACAGTCAGACTTAAATTTGCTCATGTCATTTCAATTTGCCCCTTTTAGGGGTCAACAGAGCTATAAATAGAAAAACACCTTTAAACATCTTGTACTACAGAACGCAAAGATGGAAGATCATTTAACTTTGTTAAATTCTTAGGTAGTCTTTTATCAAGTTTGTTCATATAAATTTGATAGCCGCTTTTACAGGCCGCTATAGCTAAAAATAGAAAAACATTTTAACGTCTTCTTTTACAGAACTAATGGATGGATGATCACCAAACTTCGTCTGTAGCATTCCTGGGAAGTCTTTTATCAAGCTTGCTCATATTAATTTGATTGGCCCCTTTTAGGGGCATCCAAAGCTAAAAATAGATAAGGCTTTAAACATCATTTCCTACTGAAATCACCAAACTTTGTCTTAAGCATTCTTAGGTAGTATTAAATCAAGTTTGCTCATATTCATTTGATTGGCCCCTTTTAGGGACAGCTAAAGCTAAAAATAAAAATACTTTTAAAGGTCTCCTTCTACAGAAATAATGGATGGATGATCACCAAATTTTGTTTGTAGCATTCTTAGGTTGTCTTTTATCAAGTTTGTTCATATTAATTTGATTGGCCCCTTTAAGGGGCCGGAAAGGCTAAATATAGAAACACTTTGAACATCATCTCCTACTGAAATATTTGACGGATGATCACCAAACTTTGTAGCACTCTTAGGAAGTCTTTTATCAAGTTTACTCATAATTATTTGATTGGCCCTGTTAAAGCTAAAGCTTAAATGCCCTAGGTCATTACATTTCTGCAAATTATATTTTAAAGATATTCTATGCTCAAATTTTATATTAGAAAATATTGACAATGGATACACAATCTCTTTTTAAATATAAAATTAACGTGTTTTGACTTCACACAAAGGAGATAATGTTAGTGTCATTATTTTTTTTATAGAAAAGACCAATTTTACTTGGCCTATAATAGGATATGCAGCTTCCCATACATAGTTTATCAATTCTTTTATATCTTTTAAATTTCAATAGATTTCTATGACTCAAAGATTGGCATAGGATATCTAGATATCTTTTCATAATAAAAGGGAAACAATTCATGTTGGAATGTGTATTTAATTATGTTATGCACAAGAGATTCAATGGCATTGAGAAAGTCTTAATGTCATGACCTGTTTATGATGTGTAATATCTTTCAGCTCTAGAATTCAGACATCATATTGCATCATTGTACGGTCAGTTGTAGGTCATTAATCAGGAAAAAAGTAGGCCGAAGGGCCTTACAAACAAAGATGAATTTGTATGCTCATTCTTTTAAATACCCCCGAAACGAAGTTTGGGGGCGTGTATAGGAATCACTCGGTGGTCGGTTGGTCGGTCGGTCCGGCCGTCCGTTGCATTTTCTTGTCCAGAGCATAACTTGAAGACTAATGGTTGGAATTCAATACAACTTTATACAATGGTCAAGTTCATTGAGAGGAAGTACATGCACAAGAACCATAACTCCATCTTCACTAATTTCAGAGTTATTGCCCTTTGATACTTTTCCTTGTCCGCAGCATAACTTGTAAAGTACTGTTTGGAATTCAGAACAACTTCATAAAAAGGTCAATCACAATAAGAGAAAGTGCAGTGCACAAGAACCAGAACTCTGTGCAGAGTGATAATAGAGTTATTGCCATTTGTTACTTTTCCATTGCATAACTTGAAAACTACGTGTCGGAATTCAATACGATTTCATACAATGGTCAAGTATTATAAGAGACAGTCCAGTGCACAGAAACCATAGCTATTCTTGACTCATTTAAGAGTTTTTGCCCTTTGTTACTTTTAATTGTCTAGTGCATAACTGAAAATTAATGGTTGGAATTCAAATAAACTTTAAACAATTGCCAAGGGCAGTGGATGAAGTGCAGTGCACAAGACCATAACTCTATTTGGACTTTTTACAGTTAATGCTCTTTGTTACTTTTTTTGTCCATGGCAAAACTTGAAAACTAGTAGTTGGAATTCAAATGGTCAAGCACAAAAAGAGGAAGTGCAGTGCTCAAGAATCGTAACTCTTTTTGGACTTATTACAGAGTTATTCATTAACACTTCATCAATTGTCAACCACATTGAACGGAATTGCATCATACAAGAACCACAACTATTTTTAATTGTCCACAACCGTAATTTCAGTTCTTTTGCAAGGTATCTGTAACTAGTAACTTCCTCTTTTTTTGAAGCAGTTTTGTGGGGTATTAATCACATTAAGTGATAATTCTAGTTGAATTTTGTTAAAAATTGTATTTTTTTTTTTTTTTTTTTTTTTTTTGTTGAATTGGATTTGAATTTTTAGAAAGCACATTATAATCAATTTTGGGACATACAGTTTAACCTTAGTTTCATGTGCATAATTGAATTTTTGCATCGGTTGAGCTGTTTTTGATATTTTTTAAACCATTGCACATATTATTTTGTTTTTGATGTACATAGACTTGAAATTTGGAATGGTGTACAGAGACTTGAAAATTGGACCCGGAATATCATTTCTGATGCGATTTGAATTAAGATATCAACTGACTACTTTTGATATTATTATTTGATATGGTTTGACCTAGTTTGTCGTTTTTTGATGGTCCTGCTAGAAATTTTGACAACGGGTTTAATTTCTGATCCTGAATTGAATTTTGATATGAATTGGCCTACTTTTGATATATTTGATATCGCTTTACCTACTTTTCTTGTCTTTTATGTACAGACTTGAAATTTAGATCAGGGGTGTAATTTGTTTAATTTTAGATGTTGAATTGAATTTTGATACCAGCTGACCTTTTTTTAGGTATAATTGACACCATTTGACATACTTTCTTGTTTTTTGACATTCAGATTTTAAATTTGGATCAGGTTTGTAAATTCTGATGCCGAAATGAATGTTGATATCAACTAAACAACTGTGATTTTTTTGTATAATTTGACCTTCATTTTTGTGTTTTTTGACATACAGACTTGAAATTTGGACAAGGGGTGAAATTTCTTGTGCTGAATTTAATTTTGATATCAACTGGCCTACTTTTCATATTTTTTACAATGTTTGACCTATTGTCATTTTTTCAGGTACAGTTATGTTTAACCGCCTCCGTGGTCGAGGGGTTAGAGTCGATGACTCCTAATCCATTTACCTCTCTGGCGTGGGTTCGATCCCCGGGAGTTACTTTGGTAGTTTAGCACAGAGGAAGGTAGTCTAGTACTGGTGTAACTCTCCTGGAACGATGGTTAGGAAACTACCCGCCTATATGACAGGAATACTGTCGGGAAAAGGCGTACAATGAAACAAACAAACAAACAGTTATGTTTCCATACAGAATGTATCAAAAATGTGTTGTCACAAACTGTCAACTTCAAACATCTACATCTTACATGTTTTGCATGTGACATTTTGTGTTTTCATTCAAAAAAGTTATAAAAAAGAATTGTCCAGTCAAAATTAACACTGCCCTAGTGGTCATATATTCTGCATTTATTCTACATAGTCTCATAGGAACACACTTGCAACATACATATTTAAACAAAGCCTTTCCAAAATATTAGGGCTAAATATTTTAATTTATATAGTGAATAATGAAATGATGAATTAGATGAGTGATCTCGGGCCATCTTAGTGGCTCTATTGTTTATTATGAAGAAAAAAGCTAAAACAATCATTGTTGTGAAAGTTTATTACTAGAGGGGCAAGTTTAAGTTGAGCAGAACTTGCCGAAAGAGCTGAACTTCTTGCCTTTCAGCAAGTTCTTTTGAAAAATAATTTCCAACACTGAAAAGCAGTTGTTGCTGGTGAGCGACTCGGGCCATCATGGTCCTCTTGTTAATAAACTTCAAAAAGTGTTTCATTTTAATTATGAAATTATTATTGGTATTTATTGGCTAAATTGAGCCAAATTTATTATCAAATACGGTTTATGATATTTTCAAAGTTTATAAAATAAAAACTTGACGGTAAAAGTATTTTATATTTGACAAACGCAACCAATATACTTTCAAGAAATGTTTTTGCAAACTTTGAAAACAGCCTCTATTTTGAGTAAATTTTAGGGATATTTTGAATAAGGCACTCCAAATAGAAAAATGATCAAACAACTACTTAAAATGGAAGGGGTAGGGTAAGATTTATATACATATTTCAAAAAATAGTTTTGCTGGGTCATTTGCTAGCTGAATGTTTTGTTTCTTAAAAATGTTAAAAACATTTTTTTATAATAATTATAAAATAGAATATTTAGAGTTTCTCATTTCTGAAAAACAGCCCTTCTAATAGCAAATTTTTACTTAAGAAATATCTCCAGAACTCTTAAACCATAGGTGAACTTTGTTTAAATTTTGCATTCTTGTGTCTTTTAAGGTATATAACTGAGCTAAGCTGTCAATTTTATAGTTCCTTAGGCCATTTTTTTTTTTTTTTTTTTTTTTTGGAAATACATACATGTTTTTGGTTTGATTCTGTTTGTTGGAAAAAACGGTTTAATAAAAATGCGAATAAAAATTTTTAAAATTGATATATCTTACTTTTTATTTCAGTTTGTATATCTTTCAATTAGTCAATACAAGAAGTATAGTTCTTTTTAATAAAAATACATGTAACAAAAGCAAAATTTCAAACATTCACCCAACATGTGTGAGGATGACTAAAACACACAAATATACTCAAATATATTATGCAAAATAACTACTGAACAACAAAAGGCATCATTATACATCAACAGTTTAAAGTCTGCTTACATTTTATCTTCACTTAATGAATAGTTAGTAA